TCAAACTCTACCTCTGCCTTCCAGGTGCTGGGATTAAAGACAAGAGCCTCCACACCCAGCTTGGTTTACCATTTTTTAATGCTTCTATGTGTGATTTCATCACTCAGATGTGAAATAAAGCAGGATAGTAGATGCTATTGCCTATGTGCAGTTTCTTCCTTTCTTTTCTTTCTTTTTGGTTTTTCGATGCAGTAAAGTCCTGTCTTATTGTGTAGCCCAGACTGACCCGGAACTCCTCAGCTTTCATCCTCAACCTCATTAGTGTTGGAATTACAGGCCTGTGCCAGCATGCCTGTCTTCTTGTTTTTCAAGACAGGGTTCCTCTGTGTGGCTCTGGCTTTCTTGAACTCAATCTGTAGACCAGGCTGGTCTCGAACTCAGAGATCCGCCTGCCTCTGCCTCCCAAGTGCTGGGATTAAAGGCATATGCCACCACCGCCCAGCCTATGCCTGCTTTTTTAATTCACTTTTCTAATTTTAGTTTTTGAAAGTCTCACTGCATCACATATGCACACACATTTTCCCTCCTTCTAGTCCCTCCTATACACCAGCTCCCCTTGTTTTCTCCCAAGTTCATGGCTTCTGCTTGTTATGTTACGTGTATGCGCACAAATATGTGTGTGTGTATATATATATATAATATACATACACACACATATATGCATATATGTTCCCAGATACAAAAATACAACCTGTTTAGTCTGTATAATGGTGCCTATATGTTTGTAGTCAGTAGGTGTTAGATGACCAGTTTGGGCACAGGGGACTGTCCCTTGGGGAAGATTATTTCTCCTCTCGGCACTCCTCACTTACCCATAGTTCTTTGTCTAGGGTTGAGGCCCCATGAATGAGCTTCCCCCCTTCCATGTTAGCATGTCATTGGTGTCATCATTGTTTTGAACTTGTTTAGGCAGCCATGTTGATGAGACTTCATGAAGTCTCCTCTGGTATTTCTAGGAGACACAATCTGACAGCAAACTTTTTGTTCCTCTGACTTTTAGAATAATTTGTCCCCCTCTTCCAAAATAATTGCCAAGCCTTGGGTGTAGGAGTTGTGTGCAGATATATAAGTTGGGACCAGGCACCACAGTCTCTTGTTCTCCTCGTTTTGATTGGTTGTGGTTTTCTGTAATTGTCTGCATTTATTGCCAAGAGAAGTTTCTTTGATAAGGGGTAAGAACTACATTTATCTGTAGGTACGAGATATTCGAGTGTAGTTCGGGACTGTGCTGTTCTAGTAAAGTGATAGCTGGAGGCTTTTCAAGACCCATGACTTCAACAGCCCAGGGTAGCTGGCAAGATTCTCCCTCCTGCTCAGCAGGCTCTAAGTCCAGTCCGAGAGCTGTTGGTCGCCATCACAGAATGCATACCACCATTGCTGTGGTCCATAGGCACCATAGCCAAGCAGGCCTGTTGGCTGCTTCCTCCTTTAGAAGCTTGCATGGTTCCTTTTGGTGCTGTGAAAGCTAATCCTTGGGGAAAAGGCTTTCAGGTCAGATCCAGCTCATGTGCTGTGGGTCCTGGGTTTGAAGTGCATGGTGTCGTTAGCAATAGGGACTTTCCACCTCTGCGGGTAGCAACGAAGGGCAACAGCAGTCACCTATAATGTTTTGAGAGTCTCTTAGATAACCCTGACCAGCTACTCAAAAGGTAGATATTCATACCTAGTGGGGCTTTTTGTTGTTTTGCTCTTTTTTGTTTTATTTAATGTACATTGGTGTGAGGGTGTCGGATTCCTTGGAACTGGAGTTACAGACAGTAGTTGTGAGCTGCCCTGTGAGTGCTGGGAATTGAACCCGGCTTCTCTGAAGAGCGGCCAGAGCTCTTAACCACTGAGCTATCTCTCCAGCCCCCTGGTGGGATTTTAATTAATTAGTCTGTGGCCCTCAAGTGGAGCATTGACAACCCAGGTAGGGAAATTTCATTTAAACTATATGTGTATTAGTATATACAGATTTATATGTATTTTATGTAGATAATGATTCCTTAATGACTTTTTCCAGACATCCTCCTATATGTATCTTCTTCCCTTTACACACCATGGTCCCTTTTTCCTTTCCTGGTTCCTGCAGCCACTCCAGGTTGTGTCCACACATCTGAAGACTTGCGGTTAGGAACTAATTTACTTTTAACTGGCAGCAGTTGAGCAGAACTCGGGCTTCCTTCTCACCTGAGGGTCTGCACCACGCCATGTTCCCTCTCTAGAAGCCACTCCGTGAGAAACTCTCTTTCTCCATTAGATCCCGTTATTCCTGGACTGGTAGTGGACTAGAAGCCTTCTGTGATGGCTGCCTGGGGCTCCTTAGGAAACCTTGGCAGAGAGGGCAGGGTCCTCAAATACTGCTGGAGTTCTGAAGCAGCAGCTCAAACCTACCTGTAAATGTCTCAGCCAAGGTACAGTTTCCTACATGCTGTTATTGCCTTTGAGTAATGGGATCTGTCTTGTCCTCCACAGTTGATTGTAAATGATAAGAGCCAGAATCTCCGGAGACTGCAGGCCCAGAGGAATGAGCTCAATGCAAAAGGTGAGAGGGGAGAAGGTGTAAAGTGTCATGTGTGGGTTGAGGCAAGGTCTGGTGCGCCCAGCCTTCCATCTTCTGCAATGCTCTTGGTCTCCTCTCAGCCGAAAGTGAGCTCTCCGCTGTTCTTATGTAGTTGTTTCCCTGCACACCTCTTCAAAGATCCACTGTAAACCCCTTCAAGACCTAAGTTTTCTCCTTCCAAATGGTAAAATAGTCTTTAGTTTATGCAGACTGGACTTAGTACAAAGGAGGTACCAAATGAGAAACTGGGTGACTGGCAGTTTTTATGGTTGTGTTTTGTTTAGTTTGGTTTATTTTTTCTATTTAGTTCGACTGTTGCGGGAGGAGCTGCAGCTGCTGCAGGAACAGGGCTCCTATGTTGGAGAAGTAGTTCGGGCCATGGATAAGAAAAAAGTGTTGGTCAAGGTAAAACATGACCCCAAAGACCAGCTCATTGCGTTCCCACCCTTTGTGTATAGCCTTGGCTCGTGTTACAGAAGGTTCCTGTGTTATCCCTTGTTGGGGGTGATGTGCTGACTGTTCATGAGGAAAATCATGAACCCTTATTCTTCAGGTCCATCCTGAGGGTAAATTCGTAGTCGACGTGGACAAGAACATTGACATCAATGATGTAAGTGCAGCTGGTGATGGGGGGAGCGGCACTACCACACTGCATCCTAAGACTCCCCCTGCCCTTCATCCAGGTAACGCCCAACTGCCGGGTTGCTCTGAGGAATGACAGCTACACTCTACATAAGATCCTACCTAATAAGGTGGACCCTCTGGTGTCACTAATGATGGTGGAAAAGGTGCCGGACTCAACTTATGAGATGATTGGTGGGCTGGACAAGCAGATCAAAGAGATCAAAGAAGTGATCGAGCTGCCTGTGAAGCACCCCGAGCTCTTTGAAGCACTAGGCATTGCACAGCCAAAGGTAAACATCAGACTTTCCTGAAGGCGGCTATTTCTTCTGCCTCAGACTAGATCCAGTGCTGGGGTTGCCCTCCCACTGAAGAACAGCAACAGGAGAGATTTCCAGAGCACTAAGCTAGTTTGAATACAGTCCAGAAGGACATGGATCTCCATTTTTAAATCCCTCCCCTCGAGTAAGGGATCCAGCACAAGGCCCTCACTTAGTGTATATTCGATAAATGAAAGGGATTGGCTTTTTTTTCCCTAAGTGTGATGTACCTGTCCCCCTCCAGGGAGTGCTCCTGTATGGACCCCCAGGCACTGGGAAGACATTGTTGGCCCGTGCTGTGGCTCATCATACGGACTGTACTTTTATTCGTGTCTCTGGCTCTGAGCTGGTACAGAAATTTATCGGGGAAGGTAACTGTGGCTAAGAATGTGACAGTTGTGGAAGGGGGAGGGTGGGGTACACATTAGCTCCTAATGCCAGGTTGGCCTTCGCATAGGGGCAAGAATGGTGAGGGAGCTGTTTGTCATGGCACGAGAACATGCTCCATCTATCATCTTCATGGACGAGATTGACTCTATCGGCTCCTCACGGCTGGAGGGAGGCTCTGGAGGGGACAGTGAAGTGCAGCGCACAATGCTGGAACTGCTCAACCAGCTGGATGGCTTTGAGGCCACCAAAAATATCAAGGTGAGGTGGTAGAGGCTTTCCGAAAAGCCAGGTAAAAGTGTGGGGTTGGCACACAGGCCTAAGAGTGGTTCGGCTGATTCCACCCCTTCTTTTCCCAGGTTATCATGGCAACTAATAGGATTGATATCCTGGACTCTGCCTTGCTTCGTCCTGGGAGGATCGACAGAAAAATTGAATTCCCACCTCCCAATGAGGAGGTCTGTGGTAGATGGTGCTGGAGGAGCTCTGGCTATGGAGATGGGGTGCAGGGCTTAGGGCTTTCTTCTTTTATCCCTAGGCCCGGCTGGACATTTTGAAAATCCACTCTCGGAAAATGAACTTGACCAGGGGGATCAACCTGAGAAAAATTGCTGAATTGATGCCAGGAGCTTCAGGGGCTGAAGTGAAGGTAACTGGAAGCTCCAGGGAAGCGGGGCAGTAGTAGAGCTTCGGGGAAGTAGTAGAGCTAACTCAGGGCTAAGAGAGCCCAGCAGCAGGGCCTCAGCTTCTCTTCCTTGCTTAGGGTGTGTGCACAGAAGCCGGCATGTATGCTCTGCGGGAACGGCGTGTCCACGTCACTCAGGAGGACTTTGAGATGGCTGTAGCCAAGGTATGTGCTTCCACCTTCTTTGCTGCGGCGGCTCTGGACCCTGGGTTCAGCTCATGTTTACACAGCTCATAAAGCCCCACTCACACACGTATATTCACCCTCTTCTCCCTCCCTCTCCAGGTCATGCAAAAGGACAGTGAGAAAAATATGTCCATCAAGAAGCTATGGAAGTGAGGGTATGTCCTCTGGGTGCATCCCTCAAATAAAGGTCTGTGCGATACACTCTCTAGAACTCCAGTCTGTTAATAAGTGACTGCACTGTTCAATGACCAGGTCTGGATACCACCAATAAACAAAAGGATTTATTTGGAATTTTCCAAGTCTGCCAGAAGTGGCATTTGCCAAGCCTTAGGCCCACCCTCTCTTAAGACCAAGTACAAAGGATAAAAACAATCCTCCCAGCTTTCTCCTTCCTCTCCAGCACGCACACACCCCTACTTTAGCTGGGTTAGAGAACTGGCACATTCCCTCCCTCTGGGAGACTCCACCTCCCGAGCCCTGCACAAGCAGCTGGGGGTGAGCAGCCTCATGGCATCCCAGGAGATGATGGCGGCTATAGCCGCTTGCATAGATAAAGAAAATAAGGAGGCACCAAGTAGGGCTCCCTGAAAAACCCCCGTTACCTCTGTACAAAAAAAAAGTGGCTCCCACATAGAAAAACCTGCTCCCCAAATAGTGCAAATACCCAAAGAAAAGGACAAACCAGCAGCAAGGCTGGGCTTGTAGGAATGGCAAAGAACTTTGGTTGAGAAAGGCCAGGAAGAGTCTAGGTTGGGCCTCCTCTTCCTTGCGCAGCTCCCCAAAGCCAGCTGACACTGGCCCTAGGGTGGAGCCTGTAAACATGCAAACCCAGCAGCCTTTGGTTCAGAAATGTCTGTTACAAAGTTAAAGCACAACCTCCAGCAGTCCATGGGCCTGCCTGCAGGGGGCTGAGGCGGCATCTTAGGAACCCGACTAAAGCCAATGCTAAAGGTAAGTAATAAGGCTTTGGGGACCAAGCGATGAGGAATCCTAGCACTACATTTATGAAACTAGCTGGGGAGTAGAGGGTGACAGGAAACACACCTCACTCCATCCTACATGTCTGCAGCCCCAGCCAAAACCAAGAGGACGGTCTCCTGCCAGGTTCCAGGGCTGGGAAGGAAGGAAGCAATCCCTGAGCAGTTAGGTCAGGCGAATTCCCAGCACCTGTTCCAGTTCCTGCCTTCGCTGCTGCACCTGAAGAAGAGAAGGCATGGCTGCTCAGGCTTCAGCTTCTCAAAAAAAAGAAGGCCACAACAGCAAAAACGGCAGAGCCTCACCTTGGCAAAGATGTGTCTCCCAACTGCTTCCTGAGCCCAGGGCTGGTGGTAGAAAGCAGCTCGTCTTTCCTCCTCAGGATTCCCAATTACATCCGTGATGATCTGTAAGGGGCAAGGGAGTAAGGTGTGGCATAATTCCCACCCTGAGCCAGCCTGCCCTGGGACTGGAATAGTGCTTGGGGTGAAAAAGTCACTCAGTGTGTTAGGTGGGACCACCTTCAAAAAAGGAGGACTATACCTTGAGGTCTCGGCGTTGGGAACGGAGCCATTCTTGGATGAAGTCCTGGGGGTCAGTGCTAAAGCTAAGCATGAAGTCCCTCTGGGTCTTCAGCTGGTTGATGGACTCAATAGTTTCATGGATCTGGAGAAGAAGTGCAAGTGTCAAATGTACTCCAGCCCTGGAGACCGCTCTTAGATCTAGGTCCAGAGGTCCTGTCCTCAGTGTGCTGTGTGGAAATGACAGAGCAGCTCACCCTCACTCTGGCCTCAGCGGCTGTGGAAACAAAGGACTAACCTTGACGTCAAGAGAGGCAATCTCCTGCTGGTTGGTGGTGGAGGCCAGAAAGTTGCTCATCTGGGCCTTCAGTGGGTCATCCACCTCCACATCAATGTCGTAGCAGGCTGTCTTCTTCTGGTCATTAGGATCCACGCTGTGGGCAGTAAAGGAAAGGAAATGGAAACATGGCCATGTATATCCCAAACACCAAGCCTATTCTATGAGTAAAGTTTGAGGCTGAACTCTGTTTTCAAAGAGCCATCCCATTTCTCTTCTGTTTACCTAATGACATGGTTGATAACAATGGGGTCTGGATGCTGCAGCAATCCAGCCAGCTTCATGGGAATCTCAGAGAAACGGAGTCGGCCACAACTGAAGATCTGGAAAGCATGAAAGGCATGGTGATGCCTGAGGGCACGGGGGAGTGGACTATTCCAGGGCCAGTAGACTGCAGTCAAAAGCTGACTAAGTACTTGCCCACTAGGGTTCCAAAACAGAAGAGCCAGGGGTTGAGAGAACAAGAAGGTGGACCCAGCTGACCTGGCGGAAGTAACGATTGCAGTTGATGTACTCCCGCTCGTGTCCATCCTGCAGCTGGTTGTGTTTGATGTAAAGCCACAGCGCTTGCATGATGGCAGCCCTCGTCTGTGTGTGTACTCCCAGCAACCTTGCCAGTCGGGGGTCCAGTTTATACTGAGGAGGCTGGGGACAGACAGGAGTAAAGAAAGGTTACTTTCTTTGTGCAGAGAAAGAACAGGAAGGAGTCAGAGTAGTGGCTCTCAGCCTTCCTAACGCTGCAACCCTTTAATACAGTTCCTCACCATAAAATTATTTTCATTGCTACTTCATACCATAATTGTTATTGTTATGAATTCTAATCTAAATATCTGTGTTCCAATGGTCTTAGGCAACCCCTATGAAAGGGTTGCTCGACCCCCAGAGGGGTCATGACCCAGATTGAAAACCACTGGGTTAGAGGAACCTGCTCCCTTCCCCTGCATGAATCCCTGTGTCTCTCCACGTGACTCTGGCATCTGTCACCTGATGATCCAGCATGAGCAGGAGGGTGCACTTGACATTGAGGTCTCCTGGTCGTTTCACCTGAAAGCCATCTGTTTCTTGGGTGGTGGGCATCCGATGCCACTGTCAGAGAAGAGGGGTGCAGAGCTTATCATTAACGGCACTCAGCCAGCACAATAACTTTATGCTCTGTATCCCCTGGCAGCTCATGTCCCTCCCAGGCTCTAGGACCGTTCTCACCTCCACCAGGTGGTTGTCAGGCCCATACAGCTCCTTGTCTAGCTCGATGACAAGGCTCTTGAAGAAAGATGAGAACTTCCTCTTCTGTTTGCTGGGCTGGGGATGGAAAGAGCTGTGAGATGGGTGTGCTGCTGGATTGTTAATCAAAAGGAAGACAGTTCAGTCCTGGAGCTCAGGGCAGTGGTAAGGAAAAGGCTCTCCATTAACCCCATTACCAACCAGTGACTGAGTAAATCCAAGACACTCGACTGCCATCTACAGGAAAGTAGTAATAACTACAGATGTTCACCCTCACGCTGTGATGGAGCACTTGCCTGGTATGTGTGAGGTCCAGGGTTTGATCCCCAGCATAGAAACAACAACCCCAACAACTCTAAGCTCTAACTGGATACAGATGTGCCCTTCCTAGGGATGTTAGGATTTCTTAAAGAGTACTCATGTCTGCCCACAGTCTAAAGTCACACCAGCCTTCTCCCATCCCAACACCTCCTTCCCCAACTCACATCATCCAGAAGTTTTCCCTCCACTCGAAGCTCCCAGGAAGCCACCTTGTCTGCGGCTGGAGTTCCCCCGGGGGTCCCTGCAGTTCCTGCATTATCACCATCTGTCTTGCTGGGGCTGAATGTATTGGAAATATAGATCCGAAGTTTTCGTTTTTGCTGAAGAGGAAGAACAATGAGCTAGAGGTGGACAGATGTGCTGGAAGCCCTACCATGTCTTCTTAGAAGTAATAACCCTTGGAATTGGTAGTCGTCCTGTTAGCCTTCAAGAAACTCAACTTTGGGGGCAAGGGGAGACACACACTGGTGGATTACTGACGGTACCAACACCACAGCTACATACAACATGATACCAGGCAAATCAGACACCTCTGGAGCCAAGGACATGGCTTAATACAGCAATATATGAGGTTAGCATATGTGAGGTTGTAGGTTCTAAACCTCCACCCCCATTTAAACACCCACTACAGTCCTTTAATACCTTAGTCTCCTAGAAAGCCTCTACCGTTCAGGGGACTGCTCTAGATAATTAAAGAACAAAGAAAGAAAGACAAGGAAGCTTCTTTAGGGATGGGATGTGAAAAGGTAACTACTCTGTCTACTCTCAGGTAGCTCTCGTGACCAGGAGCTGTGAGATTTACATTCTGAATCATCCCACATACATACATATACAGACATGTATACATAGTTGAAACAATTCTCATGCAATGGTTTTGCTACTATAGTAAGTACTTCACTACTGTGAATTATTTTTCTATTTGCTAGTATCTATATTTATTTAAAACACAGTAGGCTGGGCACAATGCTTGTGATCTCAGAGCACTCAGAAGGCAAAGGCAGGACTGAGTTAGTGGCCATACATAGCAAGATATCATTTGAAAGCATACTAAATTGAGCTGTGCTCTACTGGGGGACTGCTCCCTGCTGTGGGAAGTACTGCTCTAGCCTAAGCAGATGAGCCCTGCTCATCCCTGGAAAACAAGGCCAGGGAAGAAAAACAGTTTGAGAAGACTTGGGGTAGCATATACCGTCAGAGGCTTTTTGATAGCCTCTTGGATCTCCATCCGCTTGCGAGCAATGGTCTGGTCCAGCTTCCTCTCAAAAGCTAAGAGATCCATGTATGCCTGAGACTCTGGGACAAGCTCCCGGATCTGCAGATTGAAAAATGCAATGGCTTGCTTCAACCAGCTCTAGTTCTACCATCCTCCCTTCCCTCCCCATTCCAGGATTGGGGAAGATGGCCTTCAATCCTGGCCAACCAGAGCTGGACAGGCCTCCTAACACACTCACTCGCTGAGGTAGAACCTTATCTGCCATCTTCCTCCTCTTTAACCTAGTAGGAAACAGAAGCCCATTTAAGAGGGTAACAGTCCAAACTCCCTATCTTCAAAACCCTCTCCCAAATCACCAAGAGTCTCCTTGGGATCAAGGTAGAGGGAACCTGTTAGCACCAGTGATGAGCTAAGCAAGGCATGAGAAAGTCTTACCCTCGGCGCTGGGCAGGCATGGGGGGCTGGGCCTGAGGCACAAGCAGGCGTTTTCGGAATGGATCCATCATGGTAGGTGGCATGCCAGGTCGAAGTGGAGCAGCTGTGCCAAATGGGGAGCCAGCTGGAGGTCCCACCTGCATGCCAGCCATGGGCATCCTGCTTCCTGGTGACATGCCAGGTCGCTGGGTAAAGTAGGGCAATGGAGGTACACAAGTCAGTGGCAGAGCCCTACGAGGTCCATAGCCCATACCCTCCATCTCTCGCACATGGGGAGACCTGCTGGAGACCAGGAACAAAGGGGAACAGGCGCCTGAGTCTATCATGTAAACCACACCTGCCCCGCCCCTGCAACCGCCCTGGCAGCCGTGCCAACAAATGAGGCAGCCAGAGTCCACAGGTGGGAGGGGAGCACCATTTGCTGAAAGAAGGGCCTGGGGAATTTTAGGGCTTATCACCACCTTTCCAGCTTCAATATGCAATGTCCTGCCCCCTGGGATGAGATGAGCCAGCTCTGAGTTATTTATAGAGACTTTAGATGCCCCACAACATTCTCGCTCTTCCTTTCCCCATCCTGAAGGAAAAACACTACTTAGGTGATCAGGAGCAATGCATAGCAACATAGGGGAGTACGGGGGATAAGAGCAGTCTGATGGGGACATGCCTAGTGGCATGGCTGGGGGACAAAGGCAGCTGATGGGATATCAAGCCATAAGACAGCAGCACTCCAGGTGAGCAAGTACAATAGGATGGCTTGGCCATGTCACAACGTGTGGGGATGGCCCCAGGAGAGTACAGACACCATCTGGTCACCATATGGCCCCTACCACAACCCGGACTTGTCCTCTTTCCCTTCGCTTCTCTCTCACATTCTTTTCCTTACTGCCATGCCCCTACCTCTATGTCAAAAGACCCCCAAAAGGAAGTTATGGTTCTTGGGTGGCTTATGGGAATGAGAGCAGCAGACATCTGGACTCTACCAATGGTCTGGGCACCACCTGGAAGCCAGGCTGCTGCTGGTTCAAGTTAACCCTAGCCATCCCAAGCTTCAGAATAAGATTGTCCTGGGAGGCAAAGAGTAGAATATGGGTCACCAGCAACAATCTGGGTGTCATAAGTAGCTTCTTGGTTTCTCATCTAAGGCCCACTTCTCTAACATTTCTGGGAGCCCTCCACCTCCCAACTCCATTCACAGGGCTGCTGCCTGAAAGGCCTGTTTGGCAGCTCTGCCTTGCACACACTGTCCCTGGCAGCTTCACAGGGCTGGCCCCAGGGTCCAGGTTATGCAATCAATCAGTACAACCAGACAACCAAGCCAGCCTGGGTGGAGATTCACACCAAGTTAAAGGACACCCCGCTCAAGCATCCTGGAGATGAGTTTTGGCAATTTCTTTATCCAGAACTAAACCCATGTTCCCAGCAACAGAAGGTCAGATTCATGACCAGTAGCAGAGATGAAGGGAAAGAAACACGACCCAGAGACAAAGGGAAGAGCACAGGAGCAGGGTGACAGAGAAGCATGTGGCAATTGAGGAGTTAAAAGTGGGAGACCCTGGGGCCTCGGGAGTCCTGCCACAAGTCTCTCCTCATCAGGAAGAAATTAATCAAAGCTGTTGAAAGGCAAAAAGACAGCCTATTTCTCTGCCCTAATAAGCCAGAGCCAGAAATTATAGAAGGGGGAGAGGAAAAAAAAACCTCAGGATAAGCACAGCTGTTAAGACCCCCACCATCATCCAAAACTTGAGATTTTCCTAGGGTAATTGCAGATATACGCTGGGGTGCTCCAGTCCTCCAAGAAGCTCTCCACTGAAGTTCATAAATCCTGCAGTAATGCTGAGCCCTCTGGGAAACCCCAAGATGAGGCAGCCCAGGCAGGCCTAGAATAGGCCCCACCCAGACATCTGCTCCAGACTTCTGGGGCTCAGGATCCAGGCCCCCAGCTCACCCAGAGCCTCAGGGGAAGGCTGCTCACAATTCAAGTCCCAGTTCCCCCTTGCCAAGCTCTACACCTGGGCTTTGAAGAGCCAGAAACTGTTCCCACTTAAAAATTCAGGGTTAGAAAACAAGAAAGTCACAGCCATAGAGTCTCAGCCTCTCTGCCTGCCCACTCCACCATAGGGGTAGGTGAGCCTGGTTCAGTGCCCCCCCAGAATGCAGTAACTTCTTCTACTTGGTCAAACACCCCACATTCCAGACATGATCCTATAACCACCAAAGAAGGCTAGGCCTGGTTCTGCCATCTCTGGGCTAGGAATCTAGGGTGTAAGGAAGCGTGCTCTGCTCTGACCCAAAGCCTGTAGCCCGATCCTCCCAATGGCTGCCTAGGCCTAAGAGCCTCATCTGGAGACCCTATGAACAGAACCCAGCAATAATGCACAGTAGGTTCTTTGTTTTGTTTTTGATTGTGGTGTTAAGCCTTTCAGCTGACTGTACTTCCAAACTAGAATAACCCTCTAGAGGTAGCTGGGCCATTACTTTTATTTTGACAAGCTCCCCAATATGCCCTGCTTGGGCATGCAAATCCCTGCTCTTCCTGCTTACCCCCCCCCCCCCCCAGAGCTCTAACCAGGAGGAAACTCCTTTGTCCTCAGACCCCAAGCCCTTTAGGAAGCTGGACACCTGGACATGAAAAGAAGCAAGCAGGAAAAAAAAATTAAAAAGAAGTCGTGTTTACTGGGTTCTCCTTCCACCCCCCTTTTCCCCTGTCCTTTCCCAGAGAAAGAAGAGGAGGAGGAAGGAGCTGAGAAAAAGGTGATGATGATGTCAACGTTGGTATGGGGTGCCCAGAGTCAAGGCCATCTTCTTTCTCACATCTAGAAGCCACAGCTGTCCGTCTGGCCACCCTGGCCTCAGCATCTGCTCAGGGCCACTCTACAAAATGGAGGAAGGGCTGGAGAGATGGCTCAGAGGTTAAGAGCACTGACTGCTCTTCCAGAGGTCCTGAGTTCAATTCCCAGCAACCACATGACGGCTCACAGCCATCTGTAATGAGATCGGGCGCTCTCTTTTGGTGTGTGGGCATACATGGAAGCAGAATGTTGTACACATAATAAATAAATAAATCTTTAAAAAAAAGAAAAACAAAATATGGAGGAATCCACCTTCCCATCGTCATAAGGGTCTTTCCCAAAGGCACATTTTCTATCAGCTGTGTGCCAAGGAAACTGGTCTGCATAGTGAATTATGGGACAGCCAGGACTACATAGAGAGAGGGGAAAAAAAGCAAACAGACAGATCTCCACCAGTGCCTAGAGAAAAGGAATTTTCCACATCAGTTCCAAGCAAGTGAGGTAAGGGCTAGAGTAACTGATTTGGGACTCATCAGTGATCCTAGGCCCATGAATCTCCAAAGAGAGCAACACGGGAAGATAAACTCCAGCTAGTATCCTTGGGACCAAGTCTATCTCTGGTCATACCCGAACTCTTCATTTTCTTTAGAGAAATGAAGAGTAAGGGTGTTGGCATTATTCCCACCCCACCCCTGGCTAGTTATCTCCTTAGAAATTTGGTTCCTGGTGGAATATGCACACTCTCAGGACCTATTTCTGAGGCTTCTACCTCAAGACACCAGCAGAGGACAGAGTAAGCTAAGGTGCACACTTTCTGACATTAGTAACAAGGCACTGTGGTGCACAGGCTGAGATGCATATGGCCTTATCAAGAACATGGAGAATAAGCAAAAGTAACGAGTGGTTGGGTGTGGTAGTGCCTGGCTGTAATTCCATGAGAGGCAGAAAGAGTTCAAGGCCAGTTTTTTGGCGAAGTAGAAGCCTGGGCTACATGAGACCCTGCATTAAAAAAACAAGGAACAAAAGTGACAAGGATGTGGGGAACGGATAGCACAATCCCCGGGCACTCTGGAAAAGGGGTGTAGCTCACGAATACAGCAATGTCTGCCATGTGCAAAGCCCTGCCTCAGTCCCACGATCAGCACCAAAATGCAAAAAGCAAACCATAAAGTCCTCAAACTTTCTGGAGCAACTTGCAACCAGAGAATTGGGGAAAGAAGAGCCCCACATGCAGGGTCAAGCAAGGCCCCAGTGCACTGGCCACAGAATCTTGTTCCGTGCTCCTCAGTGGCCTCTGAAGCTGCAACCTGAGACTGCTCTCTTCCAAGTCAGAAGGGTCAGGGCAGCACCCTCTGAGGCAGCCGCTGCCAGGCTCCTGCAGCCCCAGAGCCCCAAGACTTCACAAAGTCTCTCTGCTCCTCCAAACTTAACCGGATACTGACACCAGGCAGGACAAAGCATATCTAGAATATTCTGTTACCGGAACTGGGCCTTCTTCAGACTTGGCCGCAGCCGTCTCCCGTCTAACCTGGAGTCATCTAGGGCCCCTCTCCTTAGTCCCCCAGGCCGTAGAAAGCCAGGCTTCCTTCCTCCTCAGCCAGCAGCTGGGAGCCATCTCAAGACACACTAACGCTCTGCCAGTTCCCAACTAAGAAAAAAGAAAAACGAGCCAAGGCAGAGTTGCAGGGGACCGAAGCTAATGAAAAGATAACCCTGTTTTCTCAGTAACGACCCTGTTCCCTAATTTTCTCACCACATCTCGGGTCACCCCCTGGTCCCGACTCTGGGATCTACTTTAGACTCTTCCACAAAGTCTACATTTTTCAGTTGCTCAGAAGCCGTGTGCCAAGAAGCCCTGGGACTCTTCTAACTGTTCAAGCCAGCCCTCCACCGGAGAGCCTCTCACCTTTTCCCCGACTGCCACTAACCGAGGGACCCCGCAGTGTCCCCAGGGCCGCCTGTGCAGGGGACTCCTCCTGCCCTCACCTGAGGCCCCGGGGAGACCGAGCGGGCGCCCTCACGCCGGCGCCCGCCAGCTTTCCTCACCTGGTACTGCGCCGCGGGGCCCGCGGGGCCCATGGGGCGGAAGGCGGCAGCCCCCGGGACCCCCATGCCTCCAGAAGGCCCCGGGCCTCGGAGAGCCGGGTTGGGC